TTTTTTTTCATCAAATCTGCACAATAAAAATCATCAGCCATTAAAATTAGTTTATAACTGCCCCTCAAATATAATTTTTAATTTTGTTATTTGCTTATGATTAAGCTGTTGCAACACATTCAGCAGTTTATTGATCACTTAAGATGATTTTACTGATTTTAATAACTTTTGGCCACAGTATCAATTATTATTATCATTATTATTATTATTTTGGTATTTCTTTAGTTGGATGAATAAAGCACATTGCTTCATATATTTAAAGTCACAACAAAAATAAGTATCATAATATCTATGGGTAACTACTAAACAGCCTACAAATTCTTAAATGAAATTAATATTTGCCTGTTTTCTTTGCAGATATTGATGAGTGCACCAGTTACATTGACAGCTGTGACGTGAACGCCAACTGTACCAACACAGTGGGGAACTTCACCTGTACTTGTCACCCTGGTTACACAGGGGATGGACACACCTGTGCAGGTAGACATATTTGAATTTATTAAAAAAATTAGTTTTTATTAACTTCATTTTATTTATTTATTTATTTATTTATTTATTTATTTATTTATTTATTTATTTACATGCATTGTGTTTCAAAGTCAAAGGATATCATTTTTGTTAAGATTGTTTCTTTAAAAATACATATGTTCTCTATTATTCTAAATACAACCTTAAAAGAAGAGAAATGGCACCAGAATACAATGCCACTTTAAATTAAAAAGTGTCAAATGTGTGTAAAAGCTTAAATGTTGTGATGGTTCTCAATTGTAAGAGTTCCTCAGATATGGACATGAATATATATTATTTTGTGCATGTCAGTGAATGTCTTGTAGACAAGGCTGCATTTTGACACACAAAAATGAAGATGAGATGAAAAGTTTTCTGGATATTTGGGTGTTGTATTTATGCCCCCCACCCTCCCAACCCACCCACCCCCCTCCTGACCCTGCTCTAGATTTGGAGCCCTTCAGTGCTAGCATTTTCCTGATTTTTGTAAAAAGTCCATCTTTATCTCTGAAATATTATTTTTGTAGATATCAATGAATGTCTTGTGGACAATGGCGGCTGCGATACACAGGCCTCCTGCACCAATACCATGGGCAACTTCTCCTGTAGCTGTAACTATGGTTACACTGGGGATGGGTTCACCTGTGTAGGTAAGTACGGTAAATGTTCACTAATTTCAAACCCCTTATATATTTTAACTAATTTTAATTTTTCAAAATTCATAATTTGTTGTCATTCAAAAAATATTGCTTAATATCGTGGATGAAAATCAGATCAGTCAAAAAAAAACTTTTATTTTATTATGATTTAATTTTATTATTATAATTATTATTTAGATTTCTGTGATGAGCTGTCCTATGTAAACATCAGTGACAGCTGGCGCAATGTCAACCTGGGCGCTGGCACCACTTCATATTGTGACAGTGGTGACTGGGTGGTGCAGTGGTACCGCGTAGTACCACCAGCTGGGACCCGATTGGCTAATGAGGTGAGAGTTAAAAAGTGATAAAAGAGACTTGATTGGCTAGTGCAGTGAGTAAACAAAGAGATATATCTAACAAACAAGTTGCAACATGTCTGCATCATTTGTTTGAGATTTGAAAAAAGTCAGATATGCTATTCATAAGCAAGATATATATATGTAACAGCCACTCATGCTTAGCACTTTTGTAAAATATTATATTATATTTCATATTACATTTATAATACTTATATAGTAAATGAGTAAACATGCCTGGCAAGTTGGGGAGCAGAGTAGGTTCCTACTGCCCTATACTTATATCAGTTAACTCCAGTGGTTAGCAAAGTTTTATTGAGCATGAGAAAGTATGTGTAAGCATACAATTAATTTTGGATACCACTGTACATACACATTATCTTTTCCAGTGTCCTCCTCCTGACCACTGTGGCTCAGCATACCCTGCTTGGTATAGTGGAACCGAGCCTACAACACCTGGGGAAGAAATCGTGGGGTCGGTGTGCACCAACTTATACGAATGCTGTCGGTTTCCTGCTGCGGTGACGGTACGCAACTGTGGCCTTTACCTGATCTATGAGCTGCCCAACCCTCCGACTTGTAACATCACCTATTGCACAGATGATTAGATCAGTGATCAAGATAGGCTGTGGATTAGGCATGATCTTAACATGTGGAATAGAGCTTATTGGAAGTGCCACTCCTGGATTCAAAATTATGGTTATACTTTTTTGATATATTGTGGAATTTTGAATTTAATTGTCGTTTAAATTCATGATATCACATGATTTGACTGAACAGTGGATTTTTTTTTTTGGACTGGTTACAATGGAATAAAGCAATCCACTCAGACATGCTACACAGGAAATTCTAGTAACTTAATTTGTCACCTCAGCCATCTAAGGAGGTTATCTCTTCATCGCTGAAGGTTACAAGATATTTCAGAAAGTTTTACCCAATTTTTGTAATGATTTTAGGAATGGACAGTTATTAAGGAGAGAAATGAGTGATTTCAATTTCAACTTGGTCTCCTAAATTTTTTTAAAATTCTTTTTAAATTTCATGTTATTGTATATTACATTTTGCTTTGATGGATGTCTGCACTCACAAATAGGTTGAATTTGGTCGAGGGTCGAATTTTCTGCCAATAGTATACAATCATGAACTTGCAAGTTAGCTCTAAGTTGACTTGAACACAGATGACATCTGACTAGTGGAAACATATATACACTTGTAGAATCACGTGCTGTTGAATAGGCAGATGATGGCAACTGAAACATTTCAAAACCTTTCATTTTAAAATCAAATTGTAAAAAGGGCTTGATGTATTGTACACATGCACTAGTAGAATCACTGTTGAATAGATAGATGATGGCAGCTGAAACATTTCAAAACTTTTCATTTTGAAATCAAATTTCTGAATTTTTGCTGTATGTAAGTTAATTAAACTTTATAAAGTTGGTTGTGTCTAATAATAATAATGGAATGTACTTTATACTGTAAAAAGGGCTTGTTGTATTGTACACTTGCACTAATAGAATCACTGTTGAATAGGTAGATGATGGCAACTGGAACATTTCAAAACCTTTCATTTTGAAATCAAATTTCTGAGTTTTTGTTGTATGTAAGCTAAATAACCTTTATCAAGTTGGTTAAATATAATAATAAAGTTTAATAATAATAATAATGGAGTGCACTTTATACTGTAAAAAGGGCTTGTTGTATTGTACACTTGCACTAGTAGAAACACTGTTGAATAGGCATATAATGGCAACTAAAACATTTTAAAATCAAATTTCCAAGTTTTTGCTGTATGTAAGCTTAATGAACTTTATAAAGTTGGTTGTGTCTTTTTTTAATAATAATAATGGAACGTACTTTATACTGTAAAAAGGGCTTGTTGTATTGTACACTTGCACTAGAAGAATCGGTGTTGAATTGGGAGATGATGGCAACTGAAACATTTCAAAACCTTTCATTTAAAAATCAAATTTCTGTGTTTTTGCTGTAAGCTAAATAAATTTTATAAAGTTGGTTGTGTCTTTTTTCAATAATAATAAAGGGCTTATATTTTATTTGCAATATGAGTGACTTACTTCAATGTTAAATCGTTTGAAACGTGGCTGCTTGTTTTACGCTGAGTTTACTGTTTCACACAAGTTCTCAATTTCACATACAAAAAAGGTAACGTTCGGTAAACTAAAAAGACAATTTTGATTCGATTCTAACACGAAATGGCCCTTTACGTAGCACAATGTTTTCGGTAAAACAAAACGATGGATGGTAATATTGCAAAATTAGAAAAAAATGGGCACAATTTAAAAAGCACATCCCAGTTGAGCTACCGTGCTTCGTTTTGAGTCTTTTTTAAATAGCCTAGACGCGCTCTCTTATTATTAATGCGTAACTGATAAGAACAAAATCGTCTTTTCAGTAATGAAAGATATTTTCCCAATTGTCATCACGGTAATTTGTCGATTGTCTTCATTTTTCTACATTAAAATCGTGCTTCTTTTGCGTTTCTGTTTTCTTAAAACTCTGTAAAGAAAAAAGAGGAGTATTGTTCCTTAATAAACAATAAGTTCTTTGTCTCTTTCAACTGTTTTTCCCTCAATTTTAGAAGCAATAATTAAACTGAGCATTCTACAATTGATCACAGAGCATGCAGTTCACGCCACACCCAAAATGCGTTGTGGAACAAAACAACGCCCTGACCTATGACGTAGGGTCACGCAGCAAATCAAAAAATAAACGTCACAAGAAATGTGACGTAAACGTCCGTGGCAACAGTCAGACTTGCAGGTGAAAGTTCTTTTAGAACAGCACGTCAATTTGACCGGAGTACAATTTCTACATAAAAATGGCTGGTAAACCCGTTGAGAATTTGACTTCAAGATTACAAATTGAGGATCAAGATGTGGACCCTAGACCACGTCAACTGGCATTATGGATAGATGCAGAATCCGAATCTTCGTCGCAGCAATCGTCCAGACCGGTAACGCCATTCGGCCCTTCTGCGCTGGATCCAGCGACAATTCCTAGGCGTCTCTCCCGTAGACTGGTTTCACAAACCAGACAAAGAGACCCTGAAGAGTTGGCCTTTGAACTGGATATCAGACAAACAGCAGCAACAAATCTGAGAAACGAACAGATTAGAGGAAGAACCCCCTCCACGGGAGCTAGGTTAGAAAAGGTAAGTTATTCGTTAGAAATCGGGCATGTGTTTCAGTTTTCCCAGCAATTTCCTATTCTTCGATGCAACTCTGATTTATTCTGAAGATAGTTTTGTGTGGTTCGGTTGATTGTTTATTTGGTATTCGCTACCTCCTTTGATAACCGTTGGGTAGCGGATGACTGACTGATCCGCTTTTTGAAAAACGGAGAGGGGAAGTGATGGAGGAATGGAATTTCGCTTTGTGTTGATGTACGATATCAGATTGGATATAATATATTTAACGTTACATTTCCAGGCTTTGCAAACTAAACTCGAGTTGGATATAACAGAACAGGAAAGGAAAAAGAGGAAAGATGAAGAAAAGCGAGAGAGAATTGCAAAGCGCCTAGAAGAAATCAAATACAAGAAAGAACAGATGGAACTGGAGAAAAAGAAGGCCAGAGAACGCAAGGAAAAACTCGTTAAGGTAAGAAATTTATGTACGCCTTTTTATTTTGGGTAGGGGGAATTGTTCTTTACGAAAGTCGTTTAGCGTTTTCGTAAGGTCAATAATGTCTGTAAATAGTATATCAGAAAAATGTATATTGCATTTATTTTGCCCAGCCAATTCCACTGCTACAATTGTTCCGTATCTTTTACAACAGATCGTCAAAGCAAAGGTAAAAATAGAGCGAAATGTACTTTTTATTGTTTTATTTAATATTTCTAGCAATTCAATAGTAATAATAATAATAATAATAATAAAATTTTGTGTTAAGGAAAATTTGAAAAATCCCATAATCAGAGTTGAGGATGACGCTTCTGCTAAAGAGAGGATTCTGTTTGAGCTTAAGTGCGAAAAAGAATGTGAGGAAAACCAAAAGGTATGTAATATTGCTTATCTATTTTGAAAAGAATGGTGGGGTTCATTGTTTACGATTCTTGAATATTTAATAATTATAATAGTCAAATAATGTGTCAGTTACTTTCTTTCAGAAATACCCCATTCAACGGGACGTGTTCGAAGAAACCAAAGTCCCTTCTAGACTGAGAAGATGGTGGAATGGGTTTTTGAATGCCATCAGATCTTCATCTTGTTTTGGTGGACGCAGACGCAATAGAGTACACCCACTGCCGCAACCAGAGAAATAAGAGACCATCGGTGACGATGAATTACTAAGGAGAGCATGATGTGTAGCCCCTGACCACAGGCGTCGCTAGTATCTCTTACAAATCTACAGGATCAGCTCTTCTTGAACTTTGTATGTTATACTAGAGACGTCTATGATATCAGAGGGAACATGATGTGCTCTCGTGTTACGAAATATGTGTACAGACTCTTAAATTCACAAGTTTGGTTGCGGTTTGTTGGTTTTAAAGACCTCAGGCAGAAACATCACCCATGTCCCTGGAGGCTCTTGAAAAGCGTCACTGCTTCTGTGTGCGGATAGTGCTTTCCTTTTTTTTTTCTTTTTTTTTTTTTTAGCGAAGATTTGGTCAAAATAAAGAAAACAGCAATGTCCAATTTCACTTTATTGACCTTATTAATTGTGGTTTTTACAATTATATCGCTTTTGAGTCAGTTACAGTTGACGAATATTTTGACGCATCTTTTTAAATGTAAATATTTTTTATGGTAATGTAAATATTTTAATTCAAACATTCTCTTATTAGTAAACTAAGACAAATCAATACTTGGAATTCTTAAAGTATAAAATATTGATTGTTTTTTATTAAAAGTATGAAAATAAACCATGTTTCTGTATTAAGATGTTTTGCAATTTTTTAACCTATACATGTATATCCATCTATATCCGAGCGACATATATCCTCAAAGTCATTCTTGGAATAAGTGAAACAAAAATTTTTGTTGAGCAGTTATAGGGTATACAACGTGTCGGATGTCAACCACATGAACAGACCGTAATCTGAAGATGTAGACAAGTACATCGTCTGTATATAAAAAGGCAGGAACTTCCAGCAAACTTTGAATATTATACAATATAATCTTTCAGTGTAGGGCAAAATTTAAAAAGCGCATCTTGGCTGAGCCGCCGTGCTTAATTTGGAGTGCTATTAAAATAGCTTGGTCGTACTCCCTTAATTAAGGCGATTTTGATAAACACAAAATCGTCTTTTCAGTAATGGAAGACATTTTGCTACGATTGTCACCACACGGTAATTTGTTGGTTGTTCTTTTCTTTTTTCTACAATAGAATTGTGCTTCTTTTGCGTTTATGTTTTCTTAAAATCGTGTAAAGAAAAAAGAGTATTTATTATACCTTGATAAACAAATAAGTTCTTTGTCTCTTTTAACTGTTTTCCCTTTATTTAAAAGAATAAGAAAACGACAACGTGCTACAATTGATCACGAAGCGTAAGATTTACGCCACACCTAACGTTGTGTTGTTGGACAAAACGGCGCATTGACATATGACGTAGCGTCATGCAGGAGATCAAAAAATAAACGTCACAAGAAATGTGACGTAAACGTCCGTGGCAACAATCAGACCTGGCGACAGTTCTTTTAGAGCAGCACGTCAATTTGACCGGAGTTTAATCTCTATATAAAAATGGCTGGTAGAGCTAAACACGTTGAGAATTTGACTTCAAGTTTACAAACTGAGGATCAAGATGTGGTCCCTAGACCACGTCAACTGGCATTATGGATAGATGCAGAATCCGAATCTTCGTTGCAGCAATCGCCCAGACCGGTAACGCCATTTGGCCCTTCTGCGCTGGATCCAGCGACAATTCCTAGGCGTCTCTCCCGTAGACTGGTTTCACAAACCAGACAAAGAGACCCTGAAGAGTTGGCCTTTGAACTGGATATCAGACAAACAGCAGCAACAAATCTGAGAAACGAACAGATTAGAGGAAGAACCCCCTCCACGGGAGCTAGGTTAGAAAAGGTAAGTTATTCGTTAGAAATCGGGCATGTGTTTCAGTTTTCCCAGCAATTTCCTACTTTTCGATGCAACTCTGATTTATTCTGAAGATAGTTTTGTGTGGTTCGGTTGATTATTTATTTGGCATTCGCTACCTCTTTTGATAATCGTTGAGTAGCGGATGACTGACTGATCAGGGTTTTTAAAAAACGGAGAGGGGAAAGGGATGGGATAGACTTTGGCTTTGTGTCGATGTACGATATCGGATTGGATATAATATATTTAACGTTACATTTTCAGGCTTTGCAAACTAAACTCGAGTTAGATATAACAGAACAGGAAAGGAAAAAGAGGAAAGATGAAGAAAAACGAGAGAGAATTGCAAAGCGCCTAGAAGAAATCAAATACAAGAAAGAACAAATGGAACTGGAGAAAAAGAAGGCCCGAGAACGCAAGGAAAAACTCGTTCAAGTAAGAAATTTATGTACGCCTTTTTATTTTGGGTAGGGGGAATTGTTCTTTACGAAAGTCGTTTAGCTCTTTCATAAGGTTAACTAATGTATGTTAATAGTTTATCAAAAAAATTATTTTGCATATATTTTGTCCGGCCAATTTCACTGCTGCAATCATACCCTGTCTTTTACATTGTCAAAGCAAGGGTAAAAAATAGAGCAATAACTACTTTTTATTTGATATTTCTAGCAATTCTATAATAATAATAATCATCATCATAATTATTTATTGCGTTAAGGAAAATTTGAAAAACCCCAAAATCAGAGTTGAGGATGATGCTTCTGCTAAAGAGAGGATTCTGTTTGAGCTTAAGTGCGAACAAGAATGTGAGGAAAACCAAAAGGTATGTAGTATTGCTTTTCTATTTTGAAATTAAAAAGAGCGAGCTTCGTTGTTTATGATTTTTAAATATTTTATAATGGTCATATAACGTGTC